AAAAATCGCTCGCCAAATCTACTCCAAAATGGCGAACGCGCCGGCGGCAGATATGGCCGCCACTCGTTCTGCGATTTCAGTGTGCAGTTTCAGATTCGGCAGGCTCGTTGCCTCTGGAACATAAAAATTAGTTTCCTTTGACAAAACGCATGAAGACGTTTTTCGTTTTCATTTGTTTCGTCTGAAAACAATTTTTTTTCTTGTTTAGCACATGTCTATTATTTACCATGCTCCTCAGCTCCATCTAGTGGCCATAATGCAGTATTTTCCTGATAATACATTTGAGCCAACAAGAAAATATAACAAAATTTGTTTTTTTTGGCCTCTGTTTGCACAGAACAAACGTACATGGAGTGGACAAGGCAGAGAACCACTGCTAATGCACAGATTAGCCTTCGTCTGGGTATGAGTTTGACATATAAAAGGTAAGGACATTAGAAAAAATAGAGAGCATAGATGAAAAGCTTAACTGAATGTGTTAAAGCGAAGTCTCATCTATAAGAACTGCTGCAGAAGAAAAGAAAGGAGATACCTACAGCTAATAGAGTCTAGCTGTCTTTCCAGATTAGATTAGAAACAAAAACTGTGCATTGAATTGTTTCTTAGCTTTGGATAAAAAAAAAAAAGTAAAAAAAAAAAAAAAGGGAAATATTCCAATGGGGACACTGCTGACCACCATGGATAACCCTCACTTTCTGTTGTAGCTATCACACAGGAAGTGAAGGGGAATCTCCCAATGTGACACATGACAAAAAAAAGCTGATAGGGGTTATAACTCTCCCTTACTCTATCCAAAACAAAAGCACAATTTTGACTTCTGTTGTTGAAATACAATATTAGTGACATATAAAGTGCGTGGTTTTCGGTGGGCCAGGAGACTTCTAGACTTGCATTGTAAGAAACAGAAGTAAAGCACAACCATTGGGTAGTACTCCAAACCTGGAAGAAGAGTCAGAGTATGTAATTAGGTTGTAGACATATAGAATTACCAACATAAGAAACTGGATTTGAAAGCATTAACACTCAATGATAAGATTAGGGCTGCAGAGAACGATTATTTTCAAAATCGATTAGCCGATTAAGTGTGATTAATCGATTAAAAAAAGAAAAGAAAATGGCAATAATACATTGCACAGCACAACACAGAATACCACTAGCTATAGTACTGGGATTTGTAGTATTCCTCTATAGCTGGTGGTATTCTGCGTGCATTGCACCGCTGTATAATGTATTATTGCTGGCTGGAATTTGTTGTATTCCTCTATAGCTGGTGGTAAATTATTGCGCTGTATAAATATACAGCGCAATGCAGAATACCACCAGCTATAGAAGAATACAATTCCCAGCAATAATACTTTTTTTTTTGGTTTTCTTTTTTGCTCACCGTCACTGGAGAAATCTCAATACCAGGAAACGTGGCGCAGGCCATTACTATACAAGGTTTATATACCTCCCACAGATATCACATCGCTTTGCAAAAGGGAGACAAGAAGGTTAGGCGGGCCCTGATCATGGGAGCTTACAATCTAAAAGGGCAAGTGATAAAAAATGCACCATCACCAGTGTTACATTACAAACTAGAGATGCATCGTTACTAGTATCGGTATCAGTGCCAATACTGAGTATTTGGGCATGTACTTGTAAATCGCCCAAATGCTCCGATACCGGAACTTCCTGTCAGAGGGACATCTCCCTCTGACCGGCAGTGCCAAGGGAGCATGGAGCCGGCTACCTTTCAAATCAGGAAGCCGGGCGGTGGGCCATGACCCGCCTCCCCGATTGGCTAGGAAGCCGGTCCCACGCACTGCCAAGGCTGCTTATCAATATGCAAAGCCGCATGCACCGGCTCGATGGAAAGACCCCGCACCGCCCAATATACTCCAATGGCTAGACAGGATAAATGACATATACCTCATGGAAGACCTCACCAGCTCGCTCCATAATACACCCGACAAATTCGGCAAGACCTGGTTTTACTGGATTGAGTTTTCTCCACTCTCCAGAGTATGATGCCCTACGCCTGGACTCTAGGTCATGACCCACCAAACTGAACCCCCCCTACTGATCCTCTCCCCCGGCTTCACCTGTCCAACCAGCGCCCTGGTACCACTCCCCCCTTGTACCCCTCCTGATCCCACAACCCCTCTATTCACCCCCTCTACCCTTTCCCCACTTCTCCTGATGTCAGACCCTCCTACTGACCTCTGTGGTAATGCCGCGACCTGACCCCCCTGTAGGCCTCGGCTCCCCTGCTCCTGACCGGGTAATTACCCTGGAATCTACCACACTACGAGGCCTGACAGTAAAGGTCCCGAATTAGCGTCCCTATACCATCATCAGGGTCTAGGCCGCGACACCTACCGGTGTTTTCTCTAGTGAAGCACAGGAAGTTGGGCGACGTGTCACGGTCCGCCACCCGATTTCCTGATAATCAGGACACAAGGCACCGGTACTCGGTATCGGCAACTACCGAAAAAAATAAATATCTGTACTCGATACCAAAAACCGGTATCGGCGCATCCCTGGTACAGAACCATCAGAAATGGGAAAACATCCATTTCAATACATTATATATTTTTTGCTTTGCTCACAGTTCCGCATTCTGCAATTGTCTGTAGCGCAATTTTATCCACGTATTCCACAGGAGAGAAAACGAGGCCCATGAGCTACAATACTCTGTAGCAGCCCATTGGCCAGCGCCGCCAAGAGTGGGCGGGGCTGAATTTGACGAGGCTGCAAAATAATACATTATAGAGCGGAGCAATGCACGCAGAATACAACAAATCCTAGCAATAGTACATTATACAAAATGTATTATTGCCGGGATTTGTTGTATTCCTCTACAGCTGGTGGTATTCTGCACTTATTGTTGGCGGGCAGCAGCGCCTCAGGGAGCTCAGAGCGGGGAAAGGAGGCGTGTCGTGTGGTGCGCGGCGTGCCGCTCAGGTCGTGTGTGGAGCCGCGAGCAGGGTAAACTAATCGATAGCCGACTAATCGATGATGGAAACCTTTGACAACGCTTTCCATCGTCGATTTTAATCGACTATTAGTATTTGCAGCTCTAGATAAGATTATTTACATCAAGCTAATCTATAACAGTACTTACGTATATCTAATAAAACATGAAAAACACTATACAGTCCCTTATTTTTACATCCGTGACCATACATATGAGCAGTAACTTAACACTATAGAAATGTAAAACAAAAGGACAACATGAGATACTTACTCAGAAAAATAATCCATAAACTGTTGAGGATTCTCTGAGGCAAGCAGCAGCTGTTTCTGGTGAGACTCTGACATGCAGTGACATTTGAAGCCATTCTTCATGAAGAAAAAAAGAAGTTTATGTTAAATAAGGAATCACATATATATATATATACACATACATATACATATATATATATTTCTAAGATAACATATGCAATACCTACAGTATGTCTGCACATATGTAATATAGAAGACTATTTGCACACACACAATAAATATAACAATACAAACAAATATATACTGGACAGACACACCCTAACTGAAGAAATAATCGCATCCAAAATGAGTAAGCAATATAAAAATATTTGATACTTGAATCGTGTAAAAACAGATAATAAATACATGATCACTGATGTATAAAAACAGGTTAAACACCTCGCTGACTGATGACATTACAGAGGCAGCCAGTGATCTATGCGTGTTGTTTATATCCTGGTGCTTTATCTTTGCAGGTTTTCCTCCTAATTGTGTTCCTGACAGATGAAAGGATCAGACCTGTCAGCCACTGATATAATATAGAGGGAATGTGTTCAGTGCGATTCTTGTAAAAGGTTGTGGACAGGACAATGAGGCTGTCCATCAGTCAATGTTGTACACCAGCCTACATTGCACTGATAAGGGATATTCATGGATCCAAATGTATCGGATCTTATCTCCATCCCCCACCACCACTTCTCTTTCCTCCCTTTTAATAAATCCATTAGCAAACTGTTGGTTCTACTTCTGACCCCCTTAACGAAGAAGCATTACCACAAACTGAAAATTGTTCTTGAATCCCCTAGGGGACCAAGTGCATGTAGAACTTGGCCCTGCTCTGATCCAAAGCCTCACTGTGCAATAAAAGCTCATCTCTATGTCTGTTTGTGTTGGCTGTCAGTCCCACCCCAGGCTGAAGCCCAATTTATGGGTGTTCCTATGGGGAAGCGACAGCACTAGGCACTGCCCCCTCTTCATTATCAGATTGTGTATTGGCATTGTGTGCCCCTCCTGCCAGCCAAGGGTGAATAGAGTGCACAGGTGTCAAAAGGGTAACAAAGATGCCGGGAGGTAGACAAAGTAGACCATAGAAACAGCACTGTACCAGCGGAGCAAAGTGAGAGGAACAGACGTGAGGATGGAGTGCAGACAAGGGTGCAAAACTGCAGAGGATGAGAGAGATAGCTCTATTAAAAAGGTAAACCAGAAGCCGATGACAACAGAATGTGCAAAGTGAAAGGACAAAGCAGGGAAAGCAAGGTGGGATGCGAATGGCCTATGCGATTATGAGGAGAGTGTCAGATGATGAGAGGTGGAGAGGATGGAGAGACGATGAAGTGCAGGTGAGAGTACACTGAAGCTAGGAAAGAATGGGGCTCTCCTAGGGGTGAGAAGGGATCCACAGATCAGGTGAAATGTGATATTGGTGAACACTGCTTCTATTAATAGACAGCAGCTGTCACAGTGGATATAGTGGATCTGATGGGGCGGGATGCTGTGTGAACAGTAACAGGCAACAGTAGCTCAGATGTCTGTCCTTAGGCCATGTCCAGAGCAATACACTGCGTGGAAATGAAGCATGCCACATTTATATCCAGTGTAATGCATTAAAACATGTATTAAAAAAGAACTCCAACTATAGAAATGTATATATACTTACACTGGTCCAGCTTGGCATAATGTAAGGTTATATAAATGATCCCTAAAGGTCCCCACACACCTTACGATAATCGTACGATAATCGCGGGAAATCCCGCGATCGTACGATTATCGTAAGGTGTGTGGAAGCCGTGCGACCTTTACTACTGTAAGGTCGCACGACTTTGAACTTACAGACATGTTCGAAAACCCGCCGAGCATCGTACGACGTTCGGCGGGTTTGTGGCATGTCCGTACGATAACAGCCGTACGGGCCGGTGTGCGCAAGCGCACACTGCCCATTCGGCATTGCGGTCATCGGAAGCCCGCCCCTCAGGGGGCGTGGCTTGCGATCATCGCAAGTACGATCTGCCTATGCAAGATAGGCAGATCGTACGTTCTTTTAAGTACCTTACAACCATCGCAAGACAAAAGTCTTGTGATGGTTGTAAGGTGTGTGCCCAGCCTTATAGAGCCACGGGGATCAAGCCGCAGCTAGCGCTGTCATACAGTTTTCAGGTCCAGGAACAGCCACTGTGCTGAGTGACTTCCCCTCTGCTGTTAAACACAAAGGGTTGCTCGCTCACTCAGCACAGCAGCCATTCAACCAATTAGAGCTGCAGCTAACAATTATTTTCAAAATCGGTTAGCCGATTATTACGTTCGATTAATCGGTTAAAAAATAAAATTAATTTTTTTTTAAATGGCTACAGTGATGGAACTACTAGTTTGTAGTCCATCACAGGAGCAAGCTTGGAGCGGTAGAAATAAAAAAAAAGAAAAAAAAAAAAAGTGGTGTGCAATATAGTGAAATGAAAAGTGTAAAATTATACAGCAATGAATGCAGAATGGCACCAGCTATAGAGGACTACAAATCCCAGTAATACATTATACAGCGCAATGCAGAATACCTCCAGCTATAGAGGAGTACAGCAACTCCCAGCAATAGTACATTATAGCTGGTGGTATTCCGTATTACGCTGTATGATGTATAATTGCTGGCATGCGGCGTGTGGATGCGGGCGGGCGGATTTGGCAGCGGCGAGCGTGAGGTGGTGTGCCACGCAGCGTGTGTGGAGCCGTGAACAGGGCCAACCAGTAGGAATCCGATTAATCGATGATTGAAAAAGTTGACAACTTTTTCAATCGTCGATTATGTCGATTAGTTGTTGCAGCCCTACAACCAATGCCTAGTATTTTTCACAATGAGTACAAGGCGTTCTTTGATTGCAAAAGGGGTGGCGCCATAATGTCACTACTCTTTGCCCAAACAGAGAATGCCTAGAAAATTGCTAGGCGTTACCTGAATGGCTCCTGTTCCTGGACCTCAAAGGCGCCGTAGGGGCTCCAGCAGAAAATATACTCACCTGATGCTCTGTCCCACCTCCGCTCACCTATCTCACCCTTCCCTCTGGCGGTGGAATGTCCCTAGGCGTCCTCATGTCTAATGCATATGACATCACGGGTCCTTAGATCGCAGAGCCCAGGGGAAAAGATGAGGCAGGGACCAGTCTAGCAGACAAGTGGGACTGAGGTTCAGGTAAGTATAATTTCTTTATGTTAGCCCCTAGACCAAAACAAACATGTAACCCTTGCAGTGAGGAGGTAGCCCCACTGCAAGGGTTAATTGTTACATTTCCTGGTGTTCCTCTTTAACAGGATCCCCATGGACCCACCGGAGACAATTTATATAGATACTGTAATTACATTGTGCCAAGCTGGAGTCATTTAAGTATATATTCATTTCTAATGCTGGAGGTCATCTTCAATATCTGTGAGTGTTAAAGTCTGGTGTACATGCGATACAAATGTATATCCAAATCCCAATGCTGTAAATGATGTGACCCTACATGAGTCCAGTGTTACTGTACTGACAGGCCCTTTATACCGAGCTCAGCTCATCCCTGCACCATGCTGAGTGTAGTACACGGGCATGTGACCCTCTAAGCCCGGACTCTGAGTGTCTTCCATAGCTGTGTCCTCACCTCGTCTCTGCACTGTTTCTGGCACATCTGGCAGTACCATCGCAGCTTCTGTAGGCCTTTCGATTTGATGCGGTTGGCGATCGCCTTTGGGGAAAGGAAATCCGCCTTCCCCATCCCGACCACACTTCAAAGGCTAGTTCGAGCCTCGCTCGCAGGACTTTACCGAAAATGTTACTCTCTGGCTAGATGGCCGAACAAGTCAGGTGAACGTCACTTCCGCTGAGCTCAAGCGTTTATGTGGCGGCCATTTTTGAAATGGGCAATAGAAAATCTATAGCCTTGTGTATTGGGGTTTTTTTTTGGTATGGATTAATAAAGAACAGCTACTTATTGATGTAAATGCATTATAGGTTTGCACAACAAGGCTCTAAGTATGTAAATATAGATTATCCAAAAATATTTTGTATCTCTTGAGGCTGCTCAATGTCCATATGATTCAATAAAGCGTTTGTGACAATTTCTGGCATTTTGGTCTTATTAGTAATTCCTGCACCAAATTCATGAAAGTTGCACAACAGTTCTCCAACATGGGCAACAAGTTCAGGTAGTTCTTATGTGATACACTTTTACCTACTGCAACAAACTTATTAACCACTTGCTGACTGGGGTGTTTAGACCCCCTTCTTGGACAGGCCATTTTTCAGTATTCAGCGCTGTGGTACTTTGACTGACGTTTATTCCATCATACAACGGTGTTCTGAAATGAATTTCATTTTTTATACAGTCCTGTTATAACATCAGCATTGTAATAGGAATACATAACAGAGTTGTTTTTGCTACCAAAGCTTACTTACGTAATTCCTTTTATGTAATGAGTGCTGACGTCCGTCTGCGCCACTTTCAACAATTTCCTGGATTCCAAGTGTGCTCTACAGAGAGAGAGAGAGAGAGAGTAGTGGCGTAACTATCCCCATAGCTACCGTGGCGGGTCTCAGGTGGGCTCTGTAGGGTCTCATTTGGCCTCTGCAGGGTCTCTGGTATGTGTGGGGTCTTAGGTGGGCTCTGCTGGGTCTCAGATGTGTTCTGCAGGGTCTCAACAGGGGCGTAGATAAGGGGGGGGATAGGGGGGTTCAAACCCACCCCCACCCCCAGAAGGTCCTGGCAGTGGTGTTGTGAGAGGGGGGGAATGTCCTCCCGAGCGCCCGTCTGAAGAACATCAACAGACAGGAAGGCGGTCCAAAGGGATGCCCGGGATGTCCTGTTTGATAAAACATATGTGACGGCTGGAGGAGAGCTGTTCACTGACGCCGATATTTTATCAAACAGGACATCCCCGGCATCCCTTCAGACGTGCATATGCCTGCCTGTCCCTGGATGATTTGTACATGCCTTAGTGCGGGCAGGGTGTCTTACCAGGATCAGAAGGATGCATAGAGACAGAGCAGGCAATCAGGTAGCAGGGGTTGGGGAGGGGGGCTTTGTATTATCTGTGAGTAGTGAGTATACTTCTGTTTTTAGTCTTAAGTCCACTGTGCTGCAAAGTCCAGAGACTAGTGCTTTCCTATCTCAAGACAAATGTCCTGTATCCCAAGCCTAGTGCGTTCCTAAGGGTCTGTGCACACCTAGACGACACATCACTGCACGTCAATCGTGCACGATTCCACGTGGTCAGGAGTCGCCTAGGTGTGCACCGATCGCGCTGTGGGTGCCATTATTTTGTAATGGCACCCCAGTCGCTCCGGGCGGATTGCATGGTTTTCCGCCGCGATTCCACCTTCTACGCTAAAACAGCCACGCGTTTACCTTTTTTCTGCGATTTGCCGTGCGGATGTCCCCCCATTGAAATCAATGGGGCCGCACGGCAATCGCGGCCTGCAATGTGCAGGACCGTGCAATTCCGGGACTCACGTTCCCGGATCGCGTAGGTCTGCACCGGGTGTGAGTCTAGTGCGTTCTAAGTCCAGAGTCCACAGTCTGTACTGGAGGGCGGGCTCATAAAGAGAACCTGTCACCTCCGAATGCTATCACACAGGAACTTGTTAACCCCTGTGTGATAGCAATAAAGTTAGGTGAAAAAAAATAGAAGAAATTAAAATGAAAAAACTGATCAAAAGTAAAAAACAAACAAAACGAAAACTTAAGAAAAATTAATATAAATTAAAAAAGACCAGAAATTGTGGGAAATCAATATTGTCAACTTTTTGTTACACAAAATATCAAAAAAATCAAATTTCTTCCTAAAATTAGGCCAACATTTATTGTGCTAAATGTTTTTGGTAAACAAAATCCCAATAAGTATATACTAAGCAGTTTGTGTGAATTGGTAGGTACCAATTGGTCTCAAGTATGCTCTGCAGGGTCTCTGGTGGGCTCTGCAGGATCTCAGATGGGCTCTACGGGGTCTATGGTGGGCTCTGCTGGGTCACTATCTGGTGGGCTGTGGGATTTCAGATAGGCTCTGCAGGGTCTCAGGAGGGCTCTGCTAAGTCTAAGCTAAGTGGGGGTCTCAGGTGACTTGTGTAGGGTCTATGGTGGGCTCTGCAGGGTCTCTGGGGGGCTGTGCCGGGTCGATGGTGGGCTTTGCTGCAGTGAGCAGTGGAATTATCTGCTCTTCGGCTCTGACATCAGAGCCAGCAGGAGCAGAGCTTAAGGTAGGTACTTTTTTTTTGGTGAGGGGCAGTGTCCTCGCATATAAAATTTTGCTATTGGGCCCTGTGATTCCTAGATATGCCCTACAGAGAGAGAGAGAGAGAGAGAGAGAGAGAGAGAGAGAGAGAGAGAGAGATATGTAGAGAGCTATGTAGAGAGATATGTAGATATGACATTCACCGCCCTCTGCAGTGAGAAGACCATGAGCTGAGCTATCAGCGGTTTGTGAATGCTCAGCTCTCGATCTATACAGCTGCAGTCACATGCCGGCTCTAAGTATTGGGAAGAGTATATTTTAACCACTTTCTTCATCTCCTTGGCGTTCTGCCAATTAATTGTACCTGACATTCTGTACATGTAATGACGAAAACTGACCTATGTGCACACTGTCCAACAAAGGGTTACAGATCTCAAGACTTGGGTGGCACTTTGTATGTTAATACAATCTATTCTAAGCAATGGAAGCTGCCTATCGTATCTTATGTATAAGCCTGCTGCAAAGAAACAACCAGAAATGAGAGAAATATGTTTTTGCTTTCAATCATTTTTATTACATTTTTGTTACAAATGTATATATATAGACAGATAGATAAATAACTGCCAGCATACAATAAAGATATATAGTACCGGACCCACGTGTGTCTCGTTTATAAACATAAAAGACTCTTGACCCTATAGGATGTTGAAGTAGTATGCAGAGGAATAAAAGCTTGAACAGTCACTTGAGTTGAGGGGGAGGTCACCCTGGTCCATCTTATTATAGAGGAGCACTTGGGGATGGTAGCAAGTCACAGGCCATCATGGAAGCTCTGTAGGAAGTGAGGAAGGAAATATAGCGATGAAAGTGAAAGAACATTGGAAAATAAACAAATTATGTGTGGTTGAGGGAATAGAGGGAGAAGACACGGGAGTCCCGTCCTGTCCCGTCCCCTGCCCAAAATGGTGGGAGACTCTCAAATTTGACTGCAAAAGTGGAAATACACTTTAAAGCAGAACTTTAGGGAAACTCCAAGGGTTAACTGCTCATTTTGGTCAAGGGAGGAAAATAACAAAGATATACTCACCTGATCCTTGAAGACGGCTCTGACAGCGCTCTCCAGCCTTTCTTCTCCTCCTTTGCAGTGATAGTATGTCCCTCTGTGTCCTGACATCTTGTACACTATGTATAGAATGTGATGATTTACGGGACCTTAGACCACTGCGGCGGAGGGGGAGAGAGGCTCCAGGGACCGTTCTAAGAGCAAGCCAGCTCGGAGGATCAGTTGATTATAACTTATTTCCCTCCCTAGACCAAAATGAGCACTTAATCTTTGCAGTGCGGAGGTAGCCCCACTGCAAGGGTTCATAATATTTTTTTCTGACTTCTTGAAAGCTGAACTCAGTGCCCTATCATCTGTCATTTTTTCTTCTTCTGCTCAACGTATAAGCATATTCACTGGTGTCATGTACCTACATGTGGGTGTTGCCTTTGACTGTTCCTTCTAAAGAGCCTTTGACGGACAGCAGTGTCCTAACAATCTCCGTCCCAGGGTTCAGCCCATACCCTGCCCCAGCTACACAAACTTGCACAACATTGCCCTAAGGATCTCTTCCACAATCTGCCCATAGAGGCAACAGGAATTCACATTAAAAAACAGTATACAGTATAAAACAGCTACAGGGAGTATTGTTTGGGGGCAGGAATTGTTTTTCATGATGCTCGGACTTCAGATTTACCAGGACAATGTAGAAATTCTTGTAAAATCAACCGGAGGCAAAAAACGTTTGATTATTTAAAAAATGATTGGCAAAACCTGCTAAAGCGGTCTGACTGCAATTAGCACATTCCAAGTATGCTTTGCTGTGCATCTGGTAGGGTTAGCAGTGAGTTACATATGCGCCCATATATTAAACACTGGGATGCCTTAACCCAACATGAGGTTCAGAAACTTACAGGGTTATTCACAAAGGGGTGAAGAGTTTGGAGAAGGCAGGAAAAGTGCACAATTTAGGCCAAAATAGCCAATTTGGAAAAATTCTTCAATTCAGCTCGATTTCCAGTTCAGCTACTGTATGTTGTCCCAGATTCTTCACTTCTCCTGCCTTCTCCAAACTCTTCACCCTTTTGTGAATAACCCTGTAGAATTAAAGGCTGGGCGTTTTTTACCTTAATGCATTCTCTGCATAAGGTAACAAATACTCTGTACCTTTCTGACTCCCCCGTCTTCTCCACACTGTGACACACTGCACGCGAAGCAGCTCGTAGTGTTGGTGCGTGGACCTTCGCGTGCAGTGTGTCATGTCATTTTCACTCCAGCAAGTCAGCTTGCGAGAAACCACATAGCTGAGCGTGCCAAGATGAAAAGAGACTGCATCTTCAGACAATCGGCTCGCGCGTTTAAACCCGCTCGTCACGTTGCGAAGTCCATTCCGTTGTAACGCGCTAGCCAATTGGCTGCATATGCAGTCTTTCATCTGGCCGCGCTCAGCTCACACACTGCATGCGAATGTCTGTGCATCGCAGTTTTGCTTTGCACCTCACGGCTTTGCATGAATTCCTTTGTATCATAATGTGGAGAAGTTTAGGTGTCCACTTCTGAGCCATCTTGGAAATACATTAAATGACGGTCAAACCTTCAAGAGCCTGAATGCTGCCCCCATTGTCCTGGAATGCACCCCCAGACCTCCAGAAAACACTGCTGTGCAGTAGTGACCAGCTTCCATGGTCACTGCCTGTGGCCCATCTCCTGTCACACTCTGTGCCTTACTATTGGCCATCCCTGTGATGGGCAGTCTTATTTACCAATAGTGAAACACTGAAAGTAGAAGAATGGATGACAAAGCTGGCATTCACAAAAGCTGATTGTATTTTAAATAGCCAATCGCTTCAGATTCTGGTGTCCAAGGGAGTGCTCTACAGCCCTGGTGCCCAATCTGTCACCTGGGCACCACATGTGATACTTTGGTACTTACTGTGCAGCCCTCAGACCCCAGTTGCCAGTAGTCAGTGTTTTTCTTGCCTATGACAGTGAAGGAACATATTCATTGAACTAGCCAAATGACTTGGTTTATTTATTTCACACTTTCCTAATTGGGACTGCAAAGGCAGTAATCTCAAGCAGTCTCTTGTAACATGTCCTCTGTCTCTGACAATCTTCTGCAGTATGTTTCCAGTCTCCAACTATGCCTGTAGCATGTCTACCATCTTCTGTAGTGTATCTGGGGTATCTGAATGTTTTCTTTAGCATTACATTTATTTTATATATTTATTACAGGTATTTATATGGCGCCAGCAATTTATGCACGCTTTACATACTGCACATTCACATCACTCCCTGCCATACAGGGCCAATTTAGACAGGAGCCAATTAACCTTCCAGCATGTATTTGCAGTGTGGAGGGAAACAAAAACCAACACAGGGAGAACATGCAAACTTCTTGCAGATACTGTCCTGACCGGGATTAAAACCAGGGACCCCTGAGGCAGAAGTGCTACCCACTAAGCCACTGTGCTTTTATTTTTTTTTACATACACCGTGTATGGCCCTTTGGTGATGTTAGGGGCCACACTCGAGATACTGTCCTGACCAGGATTCAAACCAGGGACCCCTGAGGCAGAAGTGCTACCCACTAAGCCACTGTGCTTTTATTTTTTTTTACATACACCGTGTATGGCCCTTTGATGATGTTAGGGGCCACACATGAGCCCCCCTATGTCAATTAAGTTGACCACCCCTGTCCGGATGTAACTTTAATTTCGTTCCGAATGGATATTCGTGCGAATGTCATTACATTCGACATTTGGATGCATCTGAATCTCGGAAATGTTAACCCGTCCAAATGCGAACGAATCTGAATGTTCCTTTAGTGAAAAGTCATATCCTTCCGAATTTCGTTCGAAACTAAACTAAATCAGACATGTGACTGTTCTCTGGCCAACCAGATTTTTTGGGGCTGTTGGGGGTTGCATTACAGGTACAGTCATGTGACTTTCTGTTGTGGATCTTTCCGAAATGAAAATTCGGATGGATAAAAAATCTGAATAACAAACTTATGTTACATTTTGGATCCGAAATCCGAAATCCGAAAAAGGAAAGAAATAAAAATCCAAATAGATACGAAACAATTTTTTTTGCGGGGGTTACATGTCTAGCAGACCCGTGAAGGCGGGTGCTAATAATGTATGTCACAGATTATTCACGGTTACCTGGCCACAAATCCAGTTTAAAGTGAAGTCCACCCAAAGCATTGTTTTAGGGCAGGTTGGCAAAGTGTCAAAGTCTCTGTAATGTGTTCTTACCATCTGTATCCCTACTGGAGAGATTTCCTCTCACACTTTCATACCGGCTGATGACACAGGAAGTGAGGGAAATCTTTACAGTGGGGCCACACACACACAGTAAAAACTTGGCCATAATTTTCACCCATTCTTGGTCTTTTAAAAAAGATAAAAATGGTATTGGCTTTGCTTTAAACAACAAACAATTTTTTTCTACCGTGTCCTGGCTACGACTAAGGCCCTGTTTGGGGGGGGCCGAAACATGTAAGCATTTGTTTATTTGCTGCTGTTATGCCTATTTGCAAATAAAGTACTGAATGGACGCATGGCGAGCGCCGTTTTTTTAACCTATAACATATTTTATTGCCATCCTATAAGCTACCTAGTGACACCATGTAAATCACAGAAAAAAAACCCCACCAGTAACACAAGTTCTACTATTGACACACATCATATAGGGTTGAAGATTTCTAAGAAGCATTTTCATGCACAGATACATGTTTTCTGCATTTCAGTATTGTACTTCATGTACACATTGTACAAATTAAACAAATTGCATAGATATTACTGTATTAGCAATGAAAGCTATCCAGTAAGAAAGTCACTGTAACAAAGGCATGTAACATTCACTTCGCAGGATAGATATTTATCACCTCATATTGCTTCCAAGGTATATTAACTTGGCAGATGTCTAATGAAGAATCACAAAGCAGCATTCTTTCCAGTCTTCAAGCTTGACACAGCTTACATGAGAGCAAACGTGTCACGGATCTCTATGAGCACTGGGTTATATGACATGCTGCACCTAGCAATACTTCCAGTCGCTTGGTCAGCTGTATTAATGTACAAATAATGACAGAAACTGGTTCCTTAGGACATAGTAATTCCACGTTTCTTAATCAAAATGGAAAGTGCATGGAAGGCTTCCTGTAGTCCATCACCAGACATGGCAGAACATCCAAATATTTGCCAGGCATGTCCAGTCCACTTATCCATCTCCAATTCCAGTGCAAGCTCGGACGGTTGTTTTGTTTCTTGCAGATCTTGCTTATTGGCAAGTATGATAAATGGCACACCTTCCATGTCAGTCTCCCCTAAGATCATATGCAAAAGTTCTTTGGCGTCCACATGTCTTTCTCCATCCTTGCAGTCCACCACAAAAATCAAACCTTGTGTATTTGCAAAATAATGCTTATAGAAAGGCCATGTTTGAGTATTCAAGCTCACATCCCACACAGTGAAAGAGACTCCATTGATGGGCGCCAAAGTCTCTACATTGAATCCCACGGTTGAGATAGTGGCGACTTTCTCCTTTAGCTTCAGTTGATAAAGGGTTGTGGTCTTGCCAGAGTGATCAAGACCAAGCAGGAGAACTCGAGCCCTCACAGGATACCATGCAGAAAGGCAGATCTTCACTTTGCTAATCAGACTCCCCATGATCAAATCCAATAAAACTGGAAGAAACAGCAGTCCAAATATTAGACTTCCTTGTTTACAAAAATGAATGACTTATCCAGTTGTGGTATAATGTGCAGTATTACCACAGGGAATAATGAACTGAGGCACAGTCCAAGTTGATCTGAATGGCAGTATTGTGTTTCTGTGCACAAAACCTTGCCCTTCTGAACCTTACAATGTTGTTATGCTGGTTTATGACTTTGCATGCACTTCCTATTGGTTGTCATTCTTTATTGTATTTCTGGAATAGTCTGAAGCTCAGGTTTCAGAAAGTTAGGCTGTTCCATGCTACATTGCATTCTAGTTGTATTGTGTAAAATGTTTTTTTGTAGTTCTCAGAGTATTGAAATTTGTTGGACCCAGTCACGTTGGATTCATATATTCAGAAGATCAGTCGGAACGTGGTGTAATAAAGCACAACGGCTGCAGCGAGGCTGCTGCCAACAAAAATGAAATGTCCCACATACAAGGGAATCCAGGGTTAAAGATATATGCATATATACAGTCCAATGAGAGCGCCAAACAAGACAGAATGAGAGTCCAAAAACATTTAATAATGGAATGGGCTCATAAGCGACAGTAAAAAAACAGCCATCGCATTTCAGGGGTTTAAAGAACTTCCCCTTCTTCAGGGCTAAAAAAAGCAGATATAAACACACAGTACTATATTCCTACACTAGCTTATAAGAATTTGGGTATTACAAATTGTGTAAATAAATATGTAAAATCATCAGAATACAACAATCATAACCAGAATCATAAAAACGTATGGAATGGAGGAAAAACATCCAGTTGTAACCAATAATACAGATAATAAAGATGAAGTAAAAAATACAAATATTTAATAAAAAAATGAATTAATAAATAAAAATAAATATTAAAAAAATTAAAGTTTAGAAAAAATAAATAAAAGTAATATTTAGAAATGGATAAAAATAAACTAATTTTAGATGAAAGTAACATCCCTATTAAAACCATACTAATTTCAATAATACCACCATGATATGAGATATCTGAGATATCGTGACTATTGAGACCCTAGTGCTATCTTTGTGTTTAGGTATTTATATATCCAGTGAAAACAATATCTTTAATATCATACATATTTTATGAATAGATGCAAAGTGGGTTCCTGTTTATATGATCTCCTTGGAAAGCCCTTGCTAGAAAACTGTGCGTACTGTTATCAGTAGGGATGCACCGATATATCGGCCGCCGAAACATATCGCCCGAAAATGGCACTTTTGGCAAAATGCAGAAAGTGCCATTCTCCATCACGTCCCCACTAGTGATTGACAGCAGCAGAGAGCGGGTGCAATAGCTAGTTTGCTATTGGCTATTGCAAAAAGCCAATAGGAATCTAGCAGTGCATTCCTATGGCGAAAATGTGTTTGTTTTTTTTTAAGGCAGTAGAACCGCCGGCCAATAGAAAACAGTTGGGCAGAGCTAGCTGTCACTGCTAGCTCCGCACAATCGTTTTCTATTTTTTTTCTTCTACTTTTTAAACTATTTTTCTGTTCTGCTCGGTCCCACAGCGGCATTCGGCTATTTACTCACTGCTGTTCAGCATCTATAAGAATAGACCGAACAGCGGCGAGTAGCCTGCCGGAGGTTCGGCTTAGGCGATCAAGATGTTGGATCGGCTAAGTCGAACTCCTTCTGCACTTCGGGTCGGCCGAACAGGCTCAGCATGTTCGGCCGCCCCGAAGCCACACAAAGCCACCCAATGTACGGCTGATTTCAGCCGATAACCTGAAGTGAATAGCCGAACAGCGTTCGGTTCACTTCACTTCAGGCCGGTCGTTCACTCGGTGTCAGGAACGCAGTCCGTTCCGAGGTCTGAGACCAGCGCGGGGACGGCCCCGCCATCAGGGTCTCGTTGCCAGGCGACGGGCGGTCGTTCCTCAGTGCTCCACCTCTCCTTCCTCTAGTCAGCGTGATGACGCGACGGACTCGGCCCGGCGGCGTCCCGTTGCTAGGAGACGCTCGGGTCGGGCCTCGTCTCCGGCTCCGCCCCCAACAATTGCTCTCTGCCTACTTAAACGTAGGATGAACACTTGCTCGACGTTCTAGCAAAATAGTACGTCGAGCAACCTACTTAGGACCCTCACAGCTACTAGCAGAATCTGTTGTGACAGACCACCGGACCACTGTGCACCGGACCTCTGTGACCTCTTGATCCACCACTCGGGAATACCCTAGCAGCAAGGAGACAACTGCACTTCCCCTGACTGGACTTTCCAACTGAACAGCAAGTATCCCTTAGCACATACTGTATACAGGGGAAGTGTTGGTGCTGATACCTTGTGGGGAAACTCATTCATCACGTCTCCTCTTCTATTGATATCAGTTACAATATTGCTGCATAGCCGTCACCTGCATGATACTTATACTTGGGGTTAGTGAAGTTAACTAGCTCTTTTATCATAATCTGCTGTACCATATACTCTGGACTGTTACATTCCTTATTCATATTAGTGTTACCTAAAGTTTGGCCTCCTAGTGAAGTAACTAAGGCATCGAACTACAAACCCCAACACGGCACCATTGCTGTACAATTGAGAACGTGCATATACAACTCATCCACTTAACTACTCCCACGACAAATGGTGTATGATGTGGTGGTGGTAGCCTGTAAGGGGTTCCGACTTCACTCACTGCATTAAAGTGTGACCGTGAACCTCCCACCTGAACCATTTCCACTTACCTCCGCAGCTGAGATCCTACACACACCATTGAGCTTGCAGGAATCATTACACTCGGCTGCCTACAGCAGCTTAGTGAATAGACCCCTAAGTAGTAAAAAAAAAATATTATTTTATTAATCACATGATTTTATTGAAATGACACACAACTCCTCGTCTGTCCCATGCAAGTGTCCAGAGAATCCTCTATGGGGTGCAGGGGCTGCTCCTAGATGTACAGGAAGGTGAGATGAGAGCTGGTGAAATAATTAGCCTGCTCGTTACACATTAACTACTTAAAGTGACATTAAAGGCTTTTGGCCCCCCCCCACCTAATGTTAGTGTCGGGACTTACCTTAAATGATGCCTCTTTGTTTGATCATCCTCTTCTTTACTGTCCTTTTCAGATGTCCCTCCAGCGCTGCTGCGGTCTCCGATCCAGCGCTGACTCCTCTGTCCTCCTCTTCTCTGATGTCCCACGGTGTCTGTGCGGGTTCACGCTGCTCCATAGACTTACCTTGGGTCTCTCCTTGTCTCCCGGCCGAACATCTGAACTGCACATGCGCCCGCCCCGCGATCCTTTGCAGCCGCCCGATAAATTTTCAGATGTTCGGACGGGAGCGCGCAGCGGAGACCCAGGTAAGTATTAACCCTTTGCAAAAGTTTTTTTTCTTTTTTTATTAATCGTTTTGCATATACTTACTGCTTGCTAGCAGTAGATATATGCAGAAAAAGTCAGGGTTTAATAACCCTTTAAGGGCGGCCCGCCGTCAAAAAACACCTGTCCTGAAGTAGTTAAACAAGAACACGGCTGCTGCAGTCATGTTCTTGGTATCATTTTAGATATTGGGCGATGGCTGTTTAGAAGCAAGTAATCCAGCGGCTGTATGACATCTGCTGAAATAACAAGCCTGCTTGTTACACATTAACTACTTGAGGGCCATGCACCGTCAAAAAACATCCTGTCCTGAGGTAGTTATACCAAGAACACGGCTGCTGCAGCCGTGTTGTTGGTATCATTCCAAACAATGGGCGATGGCTGTTTAGATACAAGTGTATAGTTGCTGGTGTGGCGGAATGTGTGCCCCTCCACTACTCTGCTGTCCCTTGTGCAGGCCCAGGACCTGTATGGCGGGTCTCCTCACATAAATTGGAGGGAGATCAGAAAGCATATAGGCGCTGATCTCTCCTCCGATCACTGGACCCGGAAGTGATGTGTATTACAACACTTCTGGTGTCATTCAGGGATCCCAACCTGGAAGAAGCAATTTCAGAGAGGTGTCCCTCTCATTTTAGGGAGGTGCCCTCCCCCCCCCCACCATCCGCGGAGGGGGGATTAGGGGGGACTGGGAGAGAGCACCCCCCTGAAATGATGGCAGATAGCACAGGAAGCAATAGCTTCTTTGCTATCTGCAGGGGTTTTTTTAGTTTTTTTTTTAGTATTCTGACAGTTGCAGTCGTCAGAATAAAAAAAAAAAGGCATAGGAATGCATAGCTAGATTCCTATTGGCTATTTCACTTTGTAATAGCCAATAGCAAAATAGCTATTGCACCTGCCCTCTGCTGCTTTCAATCGCCAGAAGAGGACCTGATAGAAAACCCTCTGCTGCTAGCTATGCATTCCTATGCCTTTTTATTTCTCTGACTGACGGCGGGGCACGGCTCCCGATGTCAGAAAAAAGAAAAACGATCGCAGGGAAAGGTTTACTCTGCTCGATCGAGCAGATTAAACCTTTCCGGGAGGAAGTGTTTCTCTCCTGGGTGGCTGAGAGCCGCTATCTAATAGCGGGAGACTCCCGGAGCGTCCGGGAGAGTTGGGATGTCTGCGCCACTGTTTACATTCCCCGGCTCCTAGAGCCAAGAGAAGAAGCTGGGGAAGCAGATCTCTGCTTCGTCAGCTTCTTTGGGGTCCCTAGGTCTGAAAGACCCCTGATGTCTTCATAAAGAGGACCTGTGACATCATATTTGCTATTACACATGGGGCTTGTTAGTTGTGTGGTCTCACTATTTAAAGCTGAAGTGGCATACTTGTTGTTGTCACTGTCGCCCAGAAGAAGGGACCCTGTGTGGCCCCAAAAACGTTGGCTGTATGACGCATGTGACAATTTAATAAAAAGTGCTTTACTTCTTGCACATATCATCGAGTGCTGGTGACTTCTATTATGGACCATAAAGAGGACCTGTCACATCATATTTGCTATTACATAGGGGGCTTGTTACCCCTATGTGATAGCAATAATATTGTGTAAAAAAAACAAAAACGCAAAATAAACTTTTTAAAAATCACCCGACCTCGCGTGCACCTACATACAAACGCACGTCGGGTTAACACTAAACTGATGAGCAGTAAAAACTTTTAAAGCGTCGCCTATGGGAAATTTGGGGTATTGCCATTTTTTGCGGTTTCATGGGAAAAGGCAGTTTTAAGGCTTGGCATGTTTGTTATCAGTTTACCTGACGTAATCCCATCTTTTATCAAAATATTGGGTATTATATTCTGTGTCTGTGCACTAAATTTCATTTCAGTGTATTTCATCCTAAAAATACTGGTTTGAGAAACATTTGCACAAATACCATGTGACATAAAATATTTCAGCTAGCATGTTTTTTATTCTAGAGAGCCTCTGCTTTCAGAAAATATATAATTAGGGGTTTGAAGCTGTTTTCTAGCCCACACATTCAGATTTATCATGTGTGTGCAAATGTAAGAAATTGCCTTAAAGTTGACCAGCGGGTATGGAGTTAATTGCTGTGCGCGCGCAGCCCGGCTCCTGCTAGCCTACGTCACCTTCCCTTGATTGCGGAGACGACTGAATCCAGGCATGCGCAGTGCTTGCAGAGGATACTGAATGTCATAGGAGCTGCGGATATCCTGTATGTGCCCACACCAAAAATGGTAGCACTGTGCCGGAAGTGCCGCTGACAGTTCTCGCGGAAGCCCCACCCCCTACCCGCTCTTCCACTCTCCGAGCTACGCATGCGCGCCCTGTGCTGACTGACCTTGCCTGCAGTCACCATGTTGTCCCGGAGCAGCGTCCTCATCTTCCAGCCACAATGGTGAGAAGTCGGGTAGAACTTAGTTTGTGGTGGCAGAAGGAAGGGGTGGCCGGGGAAATGTAAACGGAGGTGAATCTGTCGTCTTTGCCTGTGAGGGGTGTTCCCACTGAGAGTGGCGGGCATATACTAGGCCGCAGCCGGTTTCTTGCACTTATGGGTGTCAGTGGCAATGGTTGAAATCTAAGTTTGTAGACAAGTATAAGGCACACAGACTTCCCTGTAGAGAGTCATGTTACTGAGTTCAGTCTTTCGTTTCCGGGTAGGTTGACTATGATCCGGGGAGTGCGGATCAGAAGGTGACCTATGGCTGTATAGGACACACGGATCGGGGACGGAACTCTTATCAGGGTACACGGCTGTTGTCATGGCTGAGGTCACCCTCCTTTCATCTTGACTGCCTCGCCACCTTAGTGCCCTTGAACTCTTTGCCTTCAAATTACTTTGTGCACAAAGCAAGCATACCCTTGCCTGTGCTGCAAAGGGTTAAATGCTTGGGAAGTCTTAGCTTAATAAAGAATAACACTTAACCTAACTCCTTCCTCTGGCAGCCTCTCTCCATCCACACTACCGGTCCAACAAAGCCGCGGTTACACACTTACCTCCTCCTAGTGCAATGCAGGCTTAGTAGCCCAGAATTGCACATGATGATGCTGAAAGACAGCACAAAGAGTCTTGGGGATAAGAGGAAAGCTCTGGAGACCTAGTGTGCTTTTAACCCTTGCAGTCTGGAGTGGCCCACTGCATGGATATTTTTTTATACATATATAAATATTAGAGAAAACAGGTTGGATGATTTTCAGACAATTTGATATCCTGGTCATATTGAAGATCACGGTAATGGTAGGTATATAAAACGGTAGAACCCTGCAGGTTGTGGTGAGAGAGACTAAAGCAATTGAAACACCCTCCTACCGAATCATTGTGTAGCACAGTACTGTGAAGCCTTCTTAGAACAGAAGGTAGTCACATGACTTCCATCACATATCCCAAAAAGAAGAGGATTAGACCACATTTTAGGACAATGGCTTTGAAAACCATTCCTTTACACCCTAAACAGCCAAGTGCACATCTAGAGCCGCTGGTGAATAAAGCAAATGTAGTGAAATGTTATAGTCATTTATTCCAAACTGTATACAGCTGTTCCAGGCTATTTGGTCATTATCAGTGCAGAGTATAGAAACCATGTCTTCTATGGAGTAGGGCTTTGGGACCCATAAGGACAGTATACCATGCAGGGGTGGGCAAACTCCAGCTGTTGTGGAACCACAAGTCCCATGAGGCATTGCAAAATTGTCACAGGCATGACTCGCAGAGACAGATGCATGATGAAATTTGTAGTTGCACCACAGCTGGAAGGTCAGTGTTTGCCCAGCTCTGTACTAATGGAATCCTAAAGCTCTAACTAAATGTGTAAAGTCTTCTTGGATCAGTAGAGTGTTCACAGGTCTCTTTGCGGTAACGCAGCCAGTGCACAGGTTTGCCCTTTTATTGCTCCTTTCCACCCAATACATTAGCACACTTCTTTATGTCTATCTTCATATTTTTGAAGAATTGTTCTGTTTTTTTTTTTTTTTTTTCCTCAAGGGGTCAAGTCAGGAACATGGCAACTTTGAAGGAGAGTAAGTATTTTTTTTTTTTTTTTACCACATTTCCTTTCCGTTTGTATGTAAATTGGCCTTGTGTTTCATTGTCACTCATTTTGTTGTTTTACAGTTACAAGACGTTTGAAATCCATCAAGAACATCCAGAAGATTACCAAATCCATGAAGATGGTGGCAGCAGCAAAGTACACAAAAGCTGAGAGGGCTCTGAAACCAGCCAGAGTATATGGGACGGGTTCTCTAGGTACGCCGATTAGATGTGTTTTGTTTGTATACTGTTTGTTCCAGGTTTGGAGCAGAATTTGAATTGTCAGTGTTTGCTGTCCAGACAGTTTGAGGTGGAGGGTGTTTTATGCTTTTCAAAACCATATCAGTCTAAACCAGGGGTGGGCAATTCTGGCCCTCCAGCTGTGCTTTAACTACAAATCCCGGAATGCCTCTGCCCCTGGGGGGTCATGCCTGTAGCTGTCAGTTGTCCAATGCATCTTGGGACTTGTAGTTCCACAACAGCTGGAGGCTGGAGTTGCCCAGTCCTGAGCTAAACTGACAGCGTTTGTTAATCGAAATACAATTTGGCACTTGGGTAGTCATTTTAAGACTATGCAAATATGCAATGCCTTTGTAATAAACATTGTCAAATACTTTCTCACGTAGATCTAAGGTGTGTGTGTTACATTTAGTGTTAGTAAAGCAAAATCTCCAAAGCTGGAAAGCGTATTGCTGGCTGTGTCCATTTTGGAGAGATTTGCCCTCTGTTTGTCCTAGAAGACATTGTATGCAGCCATAACCAGATAGGAGACCAGGGGAAATCCTCCTATAGGGACACTTGTTTTGTACACTGATTCTTGTTCTGTCTGCAGAGAAGGCAGTAAGGGGAGAGTGAGCCGTAGGCCCCTTTTACACAGGTGGCTGCCAGTTCCGATCGTGCACAGTTCCCCTCCAATCAGAACAGTGTGGAACAGATGCCACAGATGGAGGAAAAAAGTGAACTTACCAGACCCATGTTAGGTCTGTAGGGAGTCAGATGTAAGTGGGCATGTGTCTGTTTACATCAGAGTACCCACTATCTGCCATGATCAGTTCCACCAAACCGAAACGCTTCAAAATCACACCTGAGACTCTGAAGTTGGTTTCTGGCAGCTTATAGCATCAACTAAAGGTTTACATTTGAGATCTGGCTGGTTTCCATGCTTCCGCTGCCACAGAAAATAAAAGGTGAGGAGCTCTGTATGTATTGCCTGAACTTTGAAGATTCATTTCTCCTGAGGGCTATAGAGGTGAATGAGGGCTGGTTCTAAGGTGTTTTACTGCTTGTTTAGAACATCCGAGCACAGGTTCACTTTTAAATTCCCATCTTTCTTCTCGAGTAAAGCTGGTGTTGGATATAGTCACTTTTCAGCTGACTATTTTCCATCCGGCATTGTTAGATATTTCAGTGGACTTTGTGGAGCCGACAGATTCAGCTGAAATTTGAGCAATGTTCAGCCAGCTTAATGCATCTGCTTCTAAGAATACTTTTATAGCTGTCTCTCTACTTTGAGTGGCTGAAGTGTGAATAGGTGTGCAGCAAATTAAGTTGGAACTCCAGATCTGCATACTGGTTCTGGTTAAGACCCCATTCACACACGAATCGGCCTGCACGTACAGCTCCGTGCTGCGTGCGGGGCCGTAACAAGCAGCTGCCGGGAAGGACAGGTGCTGCGTGTGATTAGAACGCAGCCCCCGTCCTTCTCTATGGGGCTACGCGGCCATACGCCCCCCTACGCTCACCTCAACTGCACGTCCGCCGGAATGGACCCTGTATGCGTCCCGGCCAGGAAACCCGCACCCCTACGGACCTGCAGTTGAGGTGAGCGTAGGGGGGCATACGTCCGCGTAGCCCCATAGAGAAGGACGGGGGCTGTGTACTAATCACACGCAGCACCTGGCAGCTGCTTGGTACCGCACGCAGAACGGAGCTGTACGTGCAGGTCGATTCGTGTGTGAATGGGGCCTTAGCGTTAAAACAGCTGGAACAGTGTAACAGCCTGGCAGCTAGCATTTTCAGGAGGAGAGGTCAGCAATGGCAGCCTGTATATCTCCATTAGCACAATTCTGTTAGGTATTTTCCATATAAATTGTCAGTTGAAGGTTTTAAATCTTTTTGTTTCCCTTTTAGCGTTGTATGAGAAAGCTGAAATAAAAGCTCCTGAAGACAAGAAGAAGCATGTCATTATCGGTGTTTCCTCTGACAGGGGCCTGTGCGGTGGAATTCATTCATCTGTGGCTAAAGCTATTAAGAGTGAAATTTCCGAGCTCTCTCGTAGTGGAAAAGAAGTTAAAGTGGTTGGAATTGGGGACAAATTGAGAGGTATACTGCAAAGGCAAGTATGACCATATTTAAAGACAGAGGTAGATGGTTTAATGCCGATCTTGGGCAATTATTTCTACTCCATCTAGAAGCCGGAGGAAAATTTATAGTGACCAGAGAACGCATTCATTAACAATAAGAATAGCTGGTTGGCTTATGGTGGGGTGGGCCAAAAAGCTGCAATGTACAGCATGCCTTCTTAAAACGGGGTATTTACTTCATCACTTCCAGGCCAAATCCAAAAATAGTGTAATGAACCAGTTATTTTTGGCTTTGTCATCAAATGAAATTGATAACCGAAAAGTCTGTTAAGTTTTAAGTGTAATTCCTTAAATGCATTGTAGTTTTCCTGCCAGAATTTGGCATTCCTGCTTGAGGGTTTGAATGCCTATACGTGGTGGTGAATATTATGATATTAGAAATGTTCATTCTTGGGGGGGCAGACCTTGTTTGATGGTGCTGTGGGAGTTTATGTTTATCATCAGCCGTATTGACCGCATAAAGGCTAATTCCTCCTTTTGCAAAATAAAAACTAAATGCATATCGATTTAAAAAAATTGTTTGAATGTTTTACAATGGAGCCTGCAAAGCACTGCAGCCATGATCAGTGGATCACAGTGCAATACCCAGGCTCCCATCAGGGGTGTGGACATTTTAAAAAAAAACTACTTTTCCCTCATGACAATCTACTTGTCCCAATACAAAAAAATAGTTGTAATCAAAACTAGGGATGCACCGATATAGGTTTTTGGGTATCGAGTACGAGCACTGATACTTTGCTTTCGGTACTTGCCAAAACAGAGCATCGGTGCTTCTGTTTGCCCTAGAAGCCTGCTCCATGCCATCAGGAAGCTGGGCATCAGGTAATGACATGCTACCCAGCTTCCTGTTTGCCAGGGATGCCGACTCAATGTTGTTTGGCTTGATTGTGATTGGCCAGGAAACCAGCATCCCAGCCAATCTGCATCGAGCCAGCTAATCAGGAAACCGGGCGGTGAGTAATGGCCTGATTGGACCGGGAAGCCAGCTTCCCAGCCAATCGGGAAACCAGGGGCAGGTCATTAGTCGCTGCCCTGCTTCCTGATTGCACAGGAAGCTGGCTCCATTTTCCCCTACAGCACTGCCGTTCAGAGGAAATCTTCCGCTGACCAGAAGTTCCAGTATTGGGGAAGGTATCAGAGCATTTGGGCAAGTACAAGTACTTGCCCAAATATTCTATATTGGTGCATCCCTAATCAAAACTGTATTTGAGTGTGCTGAATAGTGCTTCTCATTGGTCTGCGTAGTCACCTGACCACGCTGACCAATGAGTGCTTGCAATTTTCCAGCAAAATTAAAAATGCATCGGGCTGGATTGTACAGGCGGAGGGTAAGGACTGTTCACACAAAAGTAAGTTCTGGGAGCGGCCGGGCCAGATTTGATTGGGTAATTCAATTTTCCCATATTACTTGGGAAAGTGAGCTTGCTCTTTAAAAGGAGAACTATGAGGTGACTGATTTTCACTCATCCTCATAGTTCGAGCCGACGTGTGACAATGAAACTGTCGCAGGTCGGCTCTATAGATCGGGAAGTGAGGGAATACCGTCGCTCGCTCACTTCTCGATCCTGTCCCTGCAGAGACCTGTAACTGTCACTCACAGCTCCCTGCAGGGATTCCCCCCATCCGCACTCTGTTGCTCCAGCACTGACTGGAGGAACGAATGGGGGAGGGGCGGGTACAGCTGGCTCTGCCTCTAGATAGGCATAGCCAGCTGTCAATCACGCAGCTGTTTTTTCTACCACTTAATTTTATTCCTATCACATAGGGCTTAAAAACTCCTATGCGATAGTTAGGAGGTGGCAGGTTCTCTCTATGGAACCTGCCCTCCAACACACAACTGATGTTCTGTGCAGTTCCTGATGGCTGAGACAGGTGGCGCTGTGATCACAGCGCCTTGGTCTCATTGATTACACAGAGCAGACAAAGAACGTCCGTTCTTAGTCTGCTCTTCGGGTTCTATGGTGAGCTTGTGTGCCGTGGTCCGGTGACCGGACACAATAGCCGCCGATCCTTTCATACAAGTGATCTATAGTGGGCTAAAATGTGGAATATAACATGGGTGCAAAAAATGAAGAAAAGGCCTGTCATGAAGGGGTTAATAAACATACTTGTAATAATGTGATGCTTTTGGTATATTATAAGTTAACTCTTTTGCAAGGTGTTTTAGTGAATTCTCTGCTGAATATTAGAAAAGCTATTTTTAAAAATAATTGACATTGGTCTTTTCTGTTTTTAAGGACCCATGGTAATCACTTCCTTGTCACCTTTAAAGAAGTTGGCAGAAAGCCTCCTACTTTTGGTGATGCCTCCATTATTGCATCTGAGCTGCTGAACTCTGGCTATGAATTTGACCAAGGATCCGTGGTGTTCAATAGATTCAGGTATATCGAAAGTCTCCTCCTCCCCTTTTTTTCCCCCTAACTTTTGTACCGTATGATTCAAAACTAATGTTGTAATTTATGTGTGCAGGTCTGTAATCTCCTACAAGACTGACGAGAAGCCGATCTATTCTCTAGACACGGTTGCCAACTCTGGTAAGGGGTTAACCTGTGTACTGTGGAATTCTGATCCGCTTAGTTCTTTTGTTTATCCTCCATTTGTTAATGAGATGAGTTATTGGTTTGCTAAACCCATCCAATGAATATTGTAGTTCGACTGAATTCAGAGCATGCACCAAATATACCTTTCAAAGCAGGCCCGGACTGGGCAAGGGGTCAATGCATCCGGCCGTTCGAGAAAAGTAGGCTTGAGCTGGTCGGGACGGGAATGAGTATGTAAAATAGAAAGGAGAATGGCATATTTGTGAGGGAGTGGAGAGTTCAGGGGATAAGTTTTGCTTTCAGGGATGATAGTCTAGAATACCTGGCACATATTTCTATAGGAGGCAGGAGAAGGCAGAGCTGACTGGCAACAAAATGATTTTTGGCAGCTTCACATGTCATTGCCCCAGTCATTGTTCACACAGGTTGCTGTAGTGTGCTCTGTGTTGTTCTTTTGTATTTGGGGTAGAAATGTTCCACTACGTATGCTGTCATTTTACTATTCTATTTGACGAATTTGTTTGGATTTATTTTACCTACTATAGCAAAATGGTTTTTCTTATTCTATTTCTGCTGCCTGGTTGCCATTTTGCATATTTTGTTGCATTCCTTGTAGATGTAAAATGCCAAGGGTGTTTTTATATTTGAATGCAATAAACTAGGGATGCACCGAAACCAGTATTTCGGTATCGAGTATGTGTACCGATTTATTATTTTTTCGGTACTCGCTGATACCGAGTACCGGAAGTCCCGTTCAGGAAGTGAGGCGACGTGTAATGATTCGCCACCTGGCTTCCTGATTAGAAGGGAACCCATCCTCCTGCTTCTCGTCACTATGTGACGAGAAAGCATGCAGCCAGCTTTCTGGCCAATCAGGAAGCCGGGAGCCGTGTAATGATGCGTCGCTCGGCCAATCAGTAAGCCGGGCGCCGCGGCCTTATTCACACGCTTCCCAAGCTTCCTGATTGGCCGGGAAGCCGGCTCCATGCTCTCTCGTCACAAGGCATCGGAGTATTTAGACGAATAAGAGTACTCACCCAAATACTCGGCATCGGGCACCGATACTAGTATAAGTATCGGTGTATCCCTACTATAAACTAATGGTAGCTCAGTATGGGGTAACTTAGTAATTGATATTTCCCTTTTCAGAAAGTATCACCGTTTATGATGACGTAGATGCAGATGTGCTGAGAAATTACCAAGAGTTTGGTTTGGTAAATATCATCTATTACACACTGAAAGAGGCCGCTGCAAGTGAGCAGAGTGCTAGGATGACTGCTATGGACAATGCCAGCAAGAATGCTTGTAAGTATATCTATGCTGAACATACAAAGCATAATCTCTGAAGTAAATGTTTATTGTGTGTACTATTATTACTGCTAAGAATAGTGAGCACAGATTTTGGAATTGAGCAGTCTTTGTGCTGACATCCAGTGGGCACTTGTAGTAAATCAAGAAACATGTACTTCTGTCCACAACTTAGGCTCAGAAGTGTGCGATTTATCTAGCGATTCAGTAAATGTCATTGTGAAAAAATGTTCCTCAGTTAACTCTGCTCTTCTTCTTCTTTTTTTTTTTTTTTTTAGCTGAAATTATTTACAAATTGACGTTGACTTATAACCGCACTCGTCAATCTGTCATCACCAAGGAGCTTATTGAAATTATCTCTGGAGCAGCTGCCCTGTAAGTACAAGGAATTAATGCTTGGCCTGGTCTTTGAATATAGGGCGAGGGAGGCCGAGTTTGTACACCAGAATCCTTGATTGCTCTTTTGTGCCCCATATATTATCTGGCCCTGCCCTTGAGGAATGTCAGAGATTGTGTTACACTAAAGAATATTTGTAGCAGTTAAGGTATATGGGGGTATATTTTTGAATTGCAGCCTTCTTTTTAAATGGAGGCCACCTGCATATTTTTGAGCAAAGGTGGATGGTGGTCCCATCTCCACCAACAGTTTACAGGAGCTACAGTCACATTAGTAGCTGTCTGTGAACCTTAAAGGAGAATTATGAGGCGAGTGATTTTCACTCGGCCTCATAATCTGAGCCGACCTGTGACAATGAAACTGTCACAGGTCGGCTGAGTATATCGGGAAGTGAGCAAACACATACCGTTGCTCGCTCACTTCTCGATCTATCCGTGCAGAGAGCCGGGATTGTCACTCACGGCTCCCTGCAGGGATTTCCCCCCCCTGTCCGATCCTCTAGCGCTGATGGGGGGAGGGGGCTGGTACAGCTGGCTCTGCATCTAGATAGGCAGAGCCAGCTGTCACTCACTCAGCTGGGTGGATTCAGACAGAATTGTCGGGTTCCGTTCTGGTGCAGCGTCTCAGTATACCGCGAGCTGTAGCTCGCGGTATACTGTGGAGCTTAGGGTGACGGGAGGACGCTAGTTTGTGTCCTCTCGTTACCCTTAGGAGAAGTATGGGGAAAAGCCCTAACCTCATAGTTCTCCTTTAATGCTGTGGCTTTATCAATCCGACATGAAGTTTTGTTAAAGCCCTGTAATGGGAAGAGAGAACTTTTATCTTTTTATCAACGTAGATAACAGTGCACAGAACACAAGTGTGCAGGATTTCCAGTTAACCAGGAGATTAGTTTAAATATACATTTTTCAAGTATAATGATTTTTTTTACTTTAGAATAACCTGTTATAACAAGATTGTAGCTTTTGTCTTAACAGTGCATATCCTTTTATTTTGTGCATTTTTCATGGTGTGCTTTAACTTTGTGTTCTGTTTCCAACACCACTTTTATTAGGGGATGAAATGGTGGAAAATAGGAATCTTTGTCATCAGGTAAAATGTTTTTGTAGTGTTATTGTATGTACAGCGAATTGTAGATCTCTTGATGTACTTTACTGCTTTATTACTCTTTTTTTAATAGTGAGGTTCAAGTCTTTAAAATGTATTAAAGTACCGTAACTATTAACAAAAATGTATCTTATTAGTGTATCACTCAGCTGTAGATCCTCAAATCATCTCTGAATTGGTGCTGACACTGTCCTTCCTTCTGGAGGGTGACTACTTTTGTTCCCCATGGTCCCTGTGTGTGTTGTAAAGTAGCCGTGGCTCCAAGTGCACTTCTGTGATGGACTACAATCTCATGGTTAGTTTACTAATTTGTATTGAGATTGTAGTCCATCATGGGAGTGAGCTTGGAGTGGTGGCTACTTTACAACACACACAGGCACCATGGGGAACAAAAAGGACAGTGCCAGAATGAATTCAGAGATGATTTGAGGATCTACAGCTGAGTGACACACAAATATAATATACATTTCCTTTTTCTGATGGCTCAAGTTTTTTGTTTTTGTTTTGTTTTTTTTTGAATGACAGGGCCACACTTCCACAAATCCTCCATTCTTTTGATTTAAAATTGTTCAATTCCTCGTTCTCTAGTGGGTCCCTGCGACGCTCTGCTCCTGCCCCCTGCACAGGTGCCTCCCATCAGCTAGCCAGCTGCTATGGAGATACCCGTGCATGTGCGTTCCCAGCTGTGCCCACAAGTAGCTGTGTGCCTCCATAGACACACACAGCTTGTGCCCGGCCACACGCCCTACTCCCACAGTCATACTTTGAAGGCAGAAGGAGCCTATGGCTCTGCCTTGAGTATCCTCCCCCGCAACCATAAAGTTCAGGGAACTGAAGACCGCTTCAGGGACTGGCGATGTTTACAGGTAAGTGTGGGGGAGACAGATGACAGGAATAGGTACTAGGTGTTTTTTACCCTAATGCATTATGGGAAAAAAATGCCCAGCCTTTGATATTACCTTAACGGTTTAAAACATGCAAATATGTGCATGTATTGCATATGTGTGTTTTTATATTTGTTTTTTTTTGGGGGGGG